AGACACATGCCCAACGAGCACTGACACACAACTACACAACAGACACATACACCATCAGACACATGCCCAACGAGCACTGACACACAACTACACAACAAACACACACACCGTCAGACATGTCCAACGAGCACTAACACACAACTACACAACATGTACTGGTACACTTTGAACAAACTGGTAAACACACACAACTGGCACATGTGTGTGTTTGTTACCTGCACTACAATGATAATGAAGATGATAATGATGAAGATGATGACGATGAGTTGTTTGTTTTATTTAGATTAATCATCTTATTGTTGAGGTGGTTGTCATAGCAACACTAATCTCAGGGTCAGAGGTCAGAGAGGTCAAAGATGTGCTGAGACACAATGATGAGGGTGATGATGATGATGTCATCGTGTCTTCCTTGTTCCAGTTAGCCTGTTAGCTGCGCTAGCTGCCTCACGTTCAAACTGAGCAAAACTTTATTACTGTAGCAAACTTTTGAAACAACTTTATTGACAACTTGCAGCTTTATTGGCACCAGCAGACAGAAAACTTTGGACACTGTGAGAGCAATAAAAGCACCAATAACTGATCAATACTATGATTGACACAGTCAAGAGTTCTGACCAAAAAAAGGCATCGATGATCAGTTTTAGGTGGAGCCAAAGTAGAGTTTATAACAAAGCAAATATTAAATTTGTCTTTAAAAAGTTTACTTTAATAGCTTTAACAACACAATCAATAAACTCTACTGATTCTAGTTTAAATACTGATTTTGTGGAACCTGGATCTAATATAATAATTAAAACTTTTTTAAATATCAACTGGTAAATTTTTATTGAATTTTTCAAAAATCATCTGCAGCATTAAAAAAATCAAAAATATTTAAAGGGGAACATGTCTCAGATTTCAGATCTTAATTATTTTTAACTGCTGCTAAATATTTGAAATGATTCTGTACTTTTATTGTAAAATTATTGCTGAAACTGTAAAATGTTCAAAACATTTACATAAAAATTTTAATCCAGCATTCTGTGTGTTTTCTTTGTTAGAGTGTTGTCAGCGTAAGAAGTATTCAGAGATTTATTTGAACTCAGAGTCAGAGAGTCAGAGATTCTTTATTGTCGTTCCACCTCATGTGGTACACGTGGTGGAACGAAATTATGTACACAGTATCCCAGTTACATTCAACAATAAAATGTAAAAGAAAAACAATGATAACATCTAAGATATGAACTAAGAAAAACATCAACTAAAAATAAACTAAACACTAATAGCATAAAAACATTATGTCGAACAACAGCACAAACATGAGCATGCATGAGTCTGTGTGAGCAGATGAGCACGCATGAACACATCAACATGAAACTGATCAGCAGCAACATGAAACAGATCAGCAGCAACATGAAACAGATCAGCAGCAACATTGAAACAGATCAGCAGCAACATGATGTGATTTTTCACAGTGATTATTCTGGTTAGAGATTCATGAGTCTAACAGCCTCAGGGTAGAAGCTGTTCCTCAGTCTAGTGGTTCTACACTTAATGCTCCTCAACCTCCTTCCTGAGGGGAGCAGGGCAAAAAGTGTGTGTGCTGGGTGAGTGGGGTCCTTCATGATGCAGGTGGCTCTCTTCCTGCATCTGGAGGTGTAGATGTCTGTGATGGTGGGGAGACTAACTCCAACATCTTCTGTGCAGCCTTCACCACTCTCTGCAAAGCTTTTCTTTCTGCAGCTGTGCAGCCTCCATGCCACATGCTCATGCTGGAGCACAGGATGCTCTCCACTACACACTTGTAGAAGGAGGTGAGGACTGAGCTTCCCAGACCAGCTCGTCTCAGCCGCCTGAGGAAGTAGAGTCTCTGATGAGCTTTCTTGATCAGGCTGGTAGTGTTGTTGCTCCAGCTGAGGTTGTCGTTCAGGTGCACACCCAAGTACTTGTAGCTGTAGACCACTTCCACTGCAGATCCTCTTATGTTCAGGGGGGGTGTAGGTGTTTTTGTTCCTTCTGAAGTCCACAATCATCTCCTTCGTCTTCTTCACATTGATGTAAAGGTTATTCTTCTTGCACTAGCTCTCCAGGTGTTCCACCTCCTGCCTGTAGCTGGACTCATCATTGTTTGTGATGCATCCCACCACCGCTGTATCATCTGCAAACTTTACAATGTGACAGCCTGGATGGGTAGCTGCACAATCATACGTGAGCAGAGTAAACAGGAGGGGGCTCAACACACATCACACAGTGACCCTCATGTTCCGAAACGGAAGAAGCGGGTAAAGATGATGGATGAATGGAAGAATGGATGGATGGATCAGTTCAGGATTGAATGTTACATACACAACACCTGCTAAAATTACAGCTATTAAATGTTTCTTAGTGTTTTTGTGTTATTGCTGCATGTTTTTAGTACATTTTGTTGAAATTCTTGGTGTTCCACAGCTGCTCGTATATGTTAATTTTTAAAGTTATTATTTTTAACATAATATTTAATCAACTTTAATAAATACTATACAATAAAAAAGTTCTGATCCAAACAGGTGGAAGAGGTCAAACCCACAAAGGTTGTAGTCCTCCAGCGTCCTGGTGGCAGCAAAGCCTTTGCGCTGTGCTTTTAGCACCAGAGAAGAAGAATGAAACTTTGCGCGGAGCAAAGGTGCTGCTACACCCGCCTTTCGATAGCCGGCTGAGGCTGAGCTGCGTCAGTTTGTTCTATTTTGTATAGGCTTCGCCCTTTAAGAGCTGTCGCTTAGTGGGTTTATCCCGTCATGCAAAGCATTGCACTGAAATGTTTAGTCCACACCCACCTGTTGTGTGGGCCCCATGCGGTCTGTATAAATTACGTTAAGAGCGGGTAATCGGCTCCCATTTTTCTTCAGCAAGCTAATAGCACTGTCAGAAGAACGAAGAAGGGAAGTTGTCCAGCTTGAACAGCTCAACCTTTGTTAAGGCTGCCTGTGGCCCCACCACGCCAACCTCCTGCTGCCCCGGTGAGATTTCCTCCCCGAGGAGAAGCAGACGAGCAGCCTTGTTTCAAGGTAAGCGCCGAGGAATATTGCTCAGTGGCGGGTCGCTATACGCTGGACGACGCCATCTTGTAATTTTCGTCTTATCGCCGACTCTCGGAGCGAATCGGATGGCTCCTCCGGGACAGGCAACGTCAGCAGCAGCCCCCGCTGCTCACTCCCTCCTGGAGAGCGTAGTGTCGGAACGAGGGGGTCTGAGCGAATGCTCACCCCCCCACCCCTACCTTTTTCACATTGGCAACCACATCGTTCCCAGCCGTCGGTGCCCTCCTCTGGAGCTGCCCGGCATAATTCAGGAGGCGGCTGACATGAAGGGACTTTTTTCCGTCCCTCTTGTAGATGAACAGATGCTCAGATATATTCATCAATTAACACGGATTCCTCATTTTTCTGAGCTGAATAAAACGTGCATTGGATTTAATGAAATGCAAACGTGAGACGTCATTTATCTTTGACCCATCAAAATGAATGCGGTCATTTATTTACAGAATCAAAGTTTAACATCAAACATTTACATTAATTTGGCAAATTTTGAAAATAACAACATAAGCAATCAATCAGGAAAAATCATACGGCCATGATTTTTCCGTTGCTTCACCACAGACATTTATGAAAACTGTACAATTATGATCTTTTACCCACACGGCGGTGGATGAGCACTTTACACAGACATTTCTAAATATCTGGAAGAATTTCTACTTGAGAGAGGAGTTTAAAGATGGGAAAGAAGTTTAAAGAAGAGTAAAAGATGGGGTTTGAGGGAGTGTGAACAGAACGGCACTCTCTGGGCTTTCTTCAGCTTCTCCTTACGGTACACTTAGGTGGTGAAATCGACTCCTTTACCTGGAGATGTCTCAGGCGAGATTCCGTTTAACGCACCCTTCAGCGTCTCCGCAGGATGCTGTTACTCGCCCGGAGTAGCAGCTTTTTGTCCCTCACAGCTCACCTCAGTGGAAAATGTTATAATCCCATGGAACTCGGAAGAGCTCTGTTGTCATGTCAGGATCTTCCCGGCTCCCAGAACTGGGCTTCTCCGCACAGAACTGAGCAGAACTGAACTCAACCGAACCGAGTAGAACTCTCACAGAACCCTCACAGAACTGAGCAGAACTGGGCAGACCAGGAAGTACAGACAATTTAAAGAGCCCTTTTCCCGGTTCATACGGGAGTCTCCCATTGGCCAGAACCAACCAGACGGGGTGTGTTTTGTGACGTAAAAGGTTAGAATGCAGCAAGAATTGTTATGAAAGATCAGAAATGTTCTCACAGACAGAGAGAGTTTTGTTTTGGCGAGTTTAAGAAACAGGTGCCAAAAACCCCCTGTTGACGTCTGAGAGGATATAAACAGGACAGTTGTTCCAACGCATGTCTGCTTCACTCCTGACCCTGGAAACGTACACTTGCTCATTCAAAGGCAGAAGTCAGAAAATGCATAAAAATCTGTAACAGACCTCAACATGAATTCTAACTTTGCATGAGAATTAAAAATCATTACACAGTTAATAAAATTGATTAGTTCACTGCAACATCTAAAATGGTTTGAACTAAGACACTTTGATTATCAACATCTGTAAAATAGTAATGATAATAAAAAAGAGAGTGTTCTTTCACTTGATTATCAAGAAAGAGAGTCTCGGGATGGGTGAACCTGTATCTCTGGATTCAAATCAATGAAATGACAGTTTCTGTCCCACAAGGTTCTTAAGGTCAAGGGTTTTGACCTTAGGCTTAGTCGTGACCTCAGATTAAGTTCACTACAGTCCCCCCTTTGGAAATCATCACCTGTCCATGGGGATGAATTCCAACTATGAACTTACGCCTTCGATTGTCCTTGAAGCTTGATGTAATCCAGCAAAGAAACAAGAGTCAAAAGTAATCCAGCAAGGAAAACGAAAGTCAAAAGTAATCCAGCAAGGAAAACAAAAGTCAAGGTAATTCCACAATGTTCTCGGTAATTCCATTGTGTTGATTAT